GTTCGTACGGTGTGTGTGTGTGTGTGTGTGTGTGTGTGTGTGTGTGTGTGTGTGTGTGTGGAATGCTCCGTTCACAAGGGAGTCTTTCTCATGCGGTTCTCCTGCTCCTTTTTAATTCGGAAAAAAAACGGGGATTTAAAGAGGATGCATCGAACCGAATGCACGGAAAGGAACAGATACCATATTAAAACCACGGATGGCGAACATCTGGACGATAAAATTACATTTCTTAAAATTTTCCATCAGCTAGGTAATTTGTTTGAGGGTTTGTGTGTTTGCCTTCTCGGCAGGGGCAACGCAGACTTTAAAATATTGTACCACTGTCATACTTCTAGATAAATCTGCTGAAATAGAGCTTTATATTCCTCTGTATATATCCCTCCTTGTAGAATCGGGGAGTGGATATCCAGTTTTGTCTAACGAGATAAATCTCGAGTCCTATCTTTACTCTTATGTGTTACAGCGGCGTCTGTTCTTTCCTTTTGGAAAGCAAAGGGAAAGGATAGATGAGGCGTATTATGCCACCCTGGCGTTCTGATAAAATCCTTGCTTCTTTTATCATATCCCACTCCTTTTCTCTTTTTTTTTCCTCTCTCTATCTTGCTTGATACGGCTTAGCTATCCACCACCAGATCAAACCGAAAAGTTTAGAGGGGGGGATTCGACCACTTCCAACCACCACCCACTCCCCTCCCTTCTTTTTTTCTCCATTTTTCTTGATTTCTTCCGCTTTTGCGATGTCCGAGGCCGCCATTCCAAAAGAGTGGACGGCGACGTGGAATCTCTTCGACGATCGCCGCACCGGATTCGTTTCGCACGTCGACCTCAAACACATCCTCCGCAGCCTCGGGCGACGCCACACCGAGGCGGAGTTTCATGCCCTCCTCGCAAACCTCCCCGATCCCGCGCCTTTCGCGGCTTTTACGCGGCTCATGCAGCAGCCGTATAACGGGCCGAACGAGAACGACCTTCTGGCGGCCCTTCGCGCGTTTGATCACCAAGGATCCGGCACCCTTCGCCTCGCCGAGCTTGTGGTGTTGCTTTCGTCGCTCGGGGAGAAAATGCCGGAGGGGGAGGTGCGGCAGCTCCTTTCCGAGGTTCCCACGGATGAGGAGGGAAATTTGAACATCGAGGCGCTCGCGCGGTTTTTGGTGACCCCGGTCGCGATCTCGCCGGAGGAGATTAGCTAAATGGTCGGCTTAATGAGGAAGGAAAAGGGTGGAAAAAAAAAAGAAAACCGATGAGCTTCCCCACGTAGGCTCCCAAAGGAAAAGGGGTAAAAATAACCCCCGGCGTGTGTGGGGTGCGTCTTAGTAGAAAGACGGGAGAAGGGGCGTAAATGGTGGAAGATGAGCCGACGCGCGAGTAAAATCCGAATGAACCTACTCCCCCCAACATCTATCTATATCTATCTATCTATTTACCTATATCTCTATAGATAGATAAATAGATCGATATATTGAAACCAACAATGCTTTGTTATTTGACGTTGTTGAAAACGGACGGACCTTTTGAAAGTGAGAAAAAAACGAAAAGGAGATGACCAGGTGGCGTTTGAACGGGCGCGCCCCCCTCTTCTCAACCGATGTAGCAGTATAACAAGATGTATATTAGCGCACTGGAAAAGGTGTGTGAAGCCGATGAAGAGAAGGGGGCGCCTTGGAAGTGTAACATACAGGACGTTCTCTCCCAACTGATCTAATTCGGTCGCATGGATGGATGGATGGATTTCCATTTCGAGACCGAGTGATACGATGTGCAGAGGGGCAGCCGGTCTGCACGGGTATCTTGTGTGGATTCCCATTCCCTCCTCTCCTCTCCTCTCTTTTTATCTTTCGTTTCTTTTCTTTTCTGTTTTCTGGTTCGTTTGTTCTTGATTTGGTCCTAGCTTGCAGGTGGAGTTGCATTCTATTGGGTTCGCCGCCTACTACATGCCTGCGCGAGGCCCCACCCCATCGTCATTTATCTCGAGCGATCACCCATAGCAAGCGGTTTGGGCGATGCGTGGGGTCGACGACGCGGCGACGCGGCCGGCGATGGCCTCCCCCCCCCCCCTTTCCCCGCCCGGAAACCCCCGTCATGGGGGCGAGGGGGGGAGCCGCGG